CTTCTAAGTAAAGAGTAATTGCTGAATTTGTTAAGTTTTAGAGGGGGTGTACTCATTTGTGCTGTGCACTATACATACATATATATATATATATATATATATATATATATATATTATTGTTGTAACATGGCAATGTAAGGAATGTCATTTTAAAAGAATACATAAATAATATACTTTACATAACAGACTTTGAAAATTGTAGCCTATAATAATATAATAGCTGAATGCAGGGGCGTAGCAGCCATTTTAAAAGTGGGGGGGACAGCTGTCAGGTGATATGACCCTCAACGGCCAAACAAATTATGTACATAATGTACAAAGTACATTCATGTTCACATAATAAATTCTATATAGAATACTAATTGGCGTGTTTTAGAGTACCCTAATGGCAATTTTGGGAACATGCCATGATAGCTTACAGGAAGCAAGACAACTTACAGGGACCTATTTTTTTGTGATATCAGACTCAAAAACACTCTAACCCTAATTCAAAAATAACTGCAGGACTTGGGACTTTGAGACCCCTGTGGACATCTATACTTTATTTTTATTACATAAAGATATTTTATGCACAATATTTCAGTTACACTACACTTAAACGATAACTTTTATCCTAATTCTTAACAGTTGGACAAAAAAAAAGTGTATTTAAAAACTATTGGAACACACTGCCTTTACCTATACAACACATTTTATTTAACAATTTGAACATAAAATGAAAATATATATTAATGTTTAATTCCTTAAAACATTGGCAAGTAGTCCCAGTTAAAAAAAAAAAAAAACACTGCCTTAAAATAGTTATCTTCTTTCAAGTTCTCACCTAGATTCTGGAGGGGTCGAGCAACTGTCCTCCCCTCTCTCTCTGTCAGTGACAGACCAGTTAAAGTTAAGAACATAGCTGTAATGAATTAAAGTAGCCTACTAAAATATGATAAAGTATTATGATATATCATAATTATTCGGCGCAAAACAACTTTGCTTTATTGAGAAAGGATAATTATACTCCGGACGCGAGTGGCGCGAGGCGACAAAAGAACCCAATAATCAGTTACGCTGTCCATATTTACATTTACTCATTTAGCAGACGCTTTTATCCAAAGCGACTTACAAGTAGGAGAGCATATAACACACACTGGATCCAGCGCGAGGTCGTATGCCTCGTTCTTAACGGGTTATTTTGTCGCATCACTCGCATCCGGTGTTGATGCCCCGTTAGATCAAATCACGTAGCAATTATATCGCGTGATTTGTGTCATCGGGACATAATGTATTACGGTGGCCGTGAAGTGCAAAGCAAATCACAATTCTGAAGACAAAATAACAAATTACAAACGCAAATGCAAGTCTAAAAAACAAAATAACAATTCAGAAAGCACAACAACAATTCAGAAAACATTATAACAAGTCAGAAAACACAATGACAAATTCGAAAACAAAATAACAAGTCAGAAAACACAACGACAAATCAGACAAACCGGAAAAGGCAGGTATAGTTTGAGACAGCGCCATTGGTTAGGGATTACTCACCGCTGACTGGACGAGACATCTGTCAACCAACGTATACAGGAAAAACCAGCCGAAGAACAGCAGAGTCGTGGTAGAAAGTTCGGAGATGGTATTAAAGTAGCTCAGTTTAAAAGTATTGTATGAATTGCCCTTACTCTGGAATAAAAAAATACGGGGTGTTTATTTACATTTAGTTAAAAGTGACTATAAAACATCAGCTCCAGTGGCGCAGATGGACAAGTGCGTGTCATTGGCTTTTTGACGCGATCGACCCGGGTTCGATCCCGCCTTTTGCCGAACTTTTTTTTCCTCCCTTTTCAAATCTCGTATCACATCGTAAAGGCATTTATTTTCAATAAAAATGAAGGAAATAATCAAAAAGTTGAAAATAAAGTATCGGGTAGGGTTAGGGTAGGTGTAGGGAGGGCTTTATTGTACCAATAAGGTGGCATCCATTTAATAATTAAAATTAAAATTATAATTTACACTCAATACGTTATTATTGCATACTGTTTTATAATGTACTACAATACTGAAGTGCAGATAATTGCCACTATTTGCAACAAGTAGTATACTTGATAGTAGAAATCCTGCTATTTTAACATAGTGTAAATAGGTATTTGCACTTAGTGTAAATAGCATATTGCTAAAAATACTGCTATTTTCACTTAGTGTAAATAGAATCCATAGCTAATACGAGATTTGAAAAGGGAGAAAAAAAGGTGTTCGGCCAATCACAATGCACTGGATCAGCTGGCTAATCAGAGCAGACTGCGCTTGTCAAAGGAGGGGGCTTTGTTGAAAACGACGTGTTTGAGAGAGGCGGGGCATAGAGGACCTACAATAATGTACAGTATTTGAAAAAATAATGTGTTTTTTGAACATTAAAGCATGTCAACATATTCTGTTACACCAAATACACAAAATAATGATCTTTAAAATAGCATCATATGACCCCTTGATTCTGGCCTATACAAGTCCATAATCCATAATAACTCTTATTCCAGTGAAAAAGTCCATCTCCTATTGTCCTCTGACATCAAAGTCCAACAACACGCTTGTTCAGAACTGTTTAGTATTGTTTTCACTTGTAAATGGTGCTTGATCTGTGCATATTTCTCTCCTGATTCAGACAAAATGATTTTTCTCACTGGACAAAGTAATATGGGTATGGATAGAGGAAGCAATGGCTTGATGTTACAAACATCTTAATTATGATTTGCTTATTACATAAACACAGCTTTTGGCTTCACAAGATGCTAACTGATGGACTGGAGTCCTGTGGATTACGTGTGGATTATTGTGATGTTTTTATCAGCTGTTTGGACTCTCATTCTGACGGCACCCATTCACTGCAGAGGATCCACTAGCGAGCAAGTGATGCAACATTTCTCCATATGAGGAAACAAACTGACCTATATCTTGGATGGCCTGAGAGTGAGTAAATGTTCACTTTTGGGTGAACTATTAATTTAAGGACGCTTAAAATGTATGTATTTATTTATTTATTTTACAACTTTGGGTAAAAGCCATTATTGCGCACATTTATGTAAATTTCAAATTATATAAATTAAATTGAAAACCCAACTTTAGGGTGTAATGGTTGTTATTTAAATGTGTTGTATAATTGTTGTTGATCAATGAAAAAAAAAGTAGTAATGGGAAAGGGGAATTTTTAATTAATTAATTAATTTACTTACTTATTTTAATATAATTGTATTTTTAGGTATAGATTTTTAGGGGGGAAATACATAAGATAAATACATCATTCCAGAAAATGCGTGCAGAAGAAGTGAAGCCGATGTTTGTCACGTGACGGGGGCGTGTCCTCTCGAGTGAAGGGAAGCGGGCCCGTGTCACGTGACGGGGGAAATAGGGAGGCTCTTGTGTTTACATCAATGCATTCAACAGCGGCTGCTGCAGAGCGTCTACACATCAATGTTTTGCTTTCATTTCTTTAAAAACGAGCACGATCATCGGTACACACGGCAGTTCCGACCGCGTCCGGGCGTAGCGCCGCTGTGCGATAAAGAGAGAGCGCCTCTGCTGCAGCTGTGATCGGTTGTGTATTAGATTACTGGCGTCATGGACGAGCTCGCGGTGGAAGTGCGAGGAGCGAGCGGAGCTTTCTACAAGGTGGGTTTCAGATGTCGTGTTATATATCTCCTGTGAGTGTCTAACCCACCGGATGTTGAAAATAATGTTTGGGAAATATGATTCAGTCCGTCGTGAACGCAGATCTCAATGCACGATGGTGCAGTAGGCCCAGTCTGCCTATAACACAAGGCCTCTTCGACGAGTGTTTGCGTGAACAGGCTTTAAACATTCATCGCAATAATTTGATAGCATGCATATTATTAATGCATATCGGCTGTGTTGACACCAGAATGTGACAGTGTGCTGGCTCGGCTCGGTTCTGTTCGGATGTGTGTATAGTGAACCGAGTCCTCCACTTAATGATTTAAATGTATTTCATTGTACATAATAAAAACATCTTTATGGCTCTAGACCTAATGGAAATGGTATTAATAGTAATTCATATTTTTCCTGAATGTTTTCAAATGCCATCATCCATACGTTCTAGGCAACGAAGTTATGATATGTGTGTATATATATATATATATATATATCTAATAATAAATCAACCCTACTTCCATGTTCTTGGTAAATCTGGGAATATCAGGGTATTTTAAAATGCTTGTTTAAGCAACTGGAAAGAGTCATGGAAATTTATGTAATGCTGAAAAATTACTTAATAAAGTTGGGAAATGTATTTTATTCTATGTAACACTCTTTTTTTTTTTTTTCTAGTTGTGATCCACTCTAAAGAATAATAATAATAATAATAATCAACTATAAATTATACTCTGGCTGTATTTATGGACAGCTAAAGCAATAATGTTAAAGTCAAGTAAATTCATTGTTCGTTGTATTATGTTTTTATATATATATATATATATATATTAGGCCTGTCACGATAACAACTTTTGGTTGTACGATATATTGCCCCAGAAATAATTGCGATAAGCGATATTGTCATTTTAAAGACCATTTTATGCCACTGAATATAAAGTATTTTATGCAAAATAGTTTTTATTTCACAGTAGTGTAATTATATTTTATTGCTGTAATATAACTGTCTCGAGGAAGGCTGGTAGTATTTTCGTAAATTCCTTGCTTTATGTCTTGCTATTAGAATGTCCTGCAGCATATCACTGGACACAATTGCATGGAGTGGCAGTAGAAAGAGTCTATATTTAACAGGTGTAAAAGGGTGTTACGTGCATATGCACAGCTGTGATGGCCTGTATCCCTGCTTTGGCATAATATGATACTCTGTTGATATGCAGAGCTATATTTACAGATGCATAGGCTACATACAGCTATTGTTTTAGCTCTTAAAGTGTGTTTTATCTGTGCAAATGCTGTGTTTATGGTAAAATTGTAGGCACTTAAGGTGTGTGGGGGGGTATATATGGGTTTTCAAGCATCAAAACAAAAGTTTAATAGGCCCCACTTTATATTAAGTGGCCTTAACTACTATGTACTTACATCAAAAATTAAGTGCAATGTACTTATTGTGTTCATATTGTATTGCAAAACACTTTTGCTGCTATTAAGGTGGGATACGGGTAAGGTTAGGGACAGGTTTATTGGTATGGGTAGGTTTAAGGGTGGGTTAAGGTGTAAGGAATGGGTCAACTGTGTAATTATAAATGTAATTTTTATGGTTTGAATTACAAAAATTAACCATTTTTATTACTAAAAACTAACATACAGCATCATGCACTGTGTGTATATAAAGCATTAAAATATTGTATTGCCCCTTTAATAAGTACATTTGTGCATTGATATGAACCCTGAGGCATATTGAAATAGTGAAAGCAAACAGAGTATATATCAGAACACTGTTAAGATTCAAACTGGCCTTTTTCCCTCCAGAGTTCTCGGCAACTGGCCTCAAGGTTCCATGAGCAGTTTGTGGTGCGTGATGACCTCATGGGATTGGCCATAGGCACCCATGGGGCGAATATCCAGCAGGCCAGAAAGATTCCTGGGGTCACAACCATCGACCTGGATGAAGAGACCTGCACGTTTCACATCTATGGAGAGGTAACTGCTTTATTGGTGACTTTCTGGTAAGGGTAAACTTTTATCACAATTAAATGTGATGGCTGTTAGAATATGTAAGCCTGGCTTGATGTTTGTGATGGATTTCGTTTGAATTCCAGGACCAGGAGGCTGTACGGAAGTCCAGAAGCTACCTGGAATTTTCTGAAGATATTATCAAAGTTCCTAAGAATTTAGTCGGTGAGGACAAATGAAATGAACTGCTTTCTCCTTCACGGACTGGACCTGCTGTCCTGCACCATGATGGTTAATGTGCATCATTAAATAATTTTCTACCCTGTCCTGCAGGAAAAGTCATTGGCAAGAGTGGGAAGCTGATTCAAGAGGTTGTGGATAAATCAGGTGTTGTCAGAGTTCGAGTGGAACCGGAAAATGACAAAAAGCCTTCTCCATTAGAGGAGGTCAGTGAGTGGGTTGCTGAACACACTCGTTGTTGTATTTATGGGCGGCAAAAGTGATGATGCTGAAAAAATACATTAAATCATAGTAATTGGTGTGGACTTTATTATAGCCGACTAATCAATTTTAGGAATACTGATTTTACTAAATATTTCAAAGTCTGCTTTAAGAATGAAAAAGCAAAACTGAAGCTCAGTTGTATGTATGTGTATATATATATATATATTAGACTTGTGCCGGTATTCGGTAATGCGATCTAAATCAATATTCAAATTACCATTCATACTGACAAAATATTATTCATACTGACTTGAATTACAACCACAGGGACTGGTGCCATTTGTGTTTGTGGGGACGAAGGAAAGCATTTCAAATGCACGGATTCTGCTGGACTACCATCTGAATTATCTAAAGGTAAGAACCAGTTTTAAAGTTTTCTAAGACAATTACTATCCAGCATACTTGGGGTTATTGTTTAAAGTAAACCTTCAACCCAAGGTATTAAACTTTGGTGTATAACTCGTCTGGCTTGACTTTCTTCTTTTTAAAGTTTCTTCTTTGGCAGTCAAAACATGGCAAAAAAAAAAAAAGTCTTACATTGAAGGAATGACTAGAATTCATGAAACATTCTGAAGATTACAATTCTTCTTAACTGCTGTTTTCTTATTTTCTAACTTAAGAAAAAAAAAAGTTGTATTTCCAAAAAAACAAAGTTTTCTTAAAAAAATATATTCTTAATCCTTTTTTTTTTTTCTCTAAAAGTTAACTTAACAAAATATACCTATTTGAACAACGGAAATAGTTTTTTATAATATTTATGTAAAATATCACATTATTATTATTATTATTTTTAAGGTGGTTTTCTTTTAATGAGTTGATCAGCAAGTTTTCTATAATAACCGCCATACTCTTTTGTTTGTTTGTTTTAAGAATTGCGCTTAGGAACATTCTTAACAAACTTCTTAGAATTTATTACCTTACGAAACTTCTTTCTTAAAGATTTCCATTAATCTGTCCCCAGTATACCAATGAGACCCGGGTTTGGCTTTGTGACCTTTGCATCTGTGGTTTTGTGCATATGTTTGTATGAGTTATGCTCCAATAAACACCGCATTTACTTCTGAAAATGTAAACGTGTAGTTATCCTTCTTGTTGAACAGCTTTTCCTCACAGAGCACATTAGTGCTCATTACAAAGCAGCAATTGTTGATTAGTGACATATACTAAATACCCCAGAGATACTCATGTGATGTTCACTACTGATTTTAGACTCTTTGTTCTTGTGTGATGGTGCATTCTTCATATTTGTTTGGTCTTGTTCAGGAGGTAGATCAGCTGCGAATGGAGCGACTGCAGATCGATGAACAGCTCAGACAGATCGGTGGAGGGCCTAGAGCTTTGCCGGGACGACCTGAGAAAGAAAAACCTTTCGTGGCTGATAATGGAATGGGACCCTCACGAGGTGGCGGCAAACCCTTCGGTCGTGGAGGGAGAGGGAGACGGGGCCCGACACTGGCTTCAGGTATGACCGGCCTCAAATAAATGAAATTAGAACATATCTGGATATGGAACTTGGTGGATATGGAACTTCACACTTTTCTGTAATATAAAAGCCATTGGCTTGATATGTAAGCATCAGGCGAGCACTAGTTAAAGCGTAATGTTAATTATGTTAATCACTTTCTTCATAATGGACTGTATTTGTCCCAGGCACCAACTCTGAGGCCTCTAATGCATCTGAGACTGAATCCGACCACAGAGATGAGCTCAGTGACTGGTCCCTGGCCCCTACAGATGAGGAGTCCATGGGTTACCCCAAAAGGGCCCCTGATGGACGCAAAAGGGGTGGAGGGCCCCGGGGTCGTGGAGGGAGAGGAAGAGGAGGATACAAAAGTCAGTTTTTGAGCTGTCACCCATCTTAAGGCCTTTTACAATGTTTCTTACAGTATTTAAAAAAAAAAAAAAAAGTTTTTTTGGGAAAATAAGTATTTGATATTAAAGGGATAGTTCACCCAAAAATGAAAATTTGATGTTTATCTGCTTTCCCCCAGGGCATCCAAGATGTAGGTGACTTTGTTTCTTCAGTAGAACACAAACGAAGATTTTTAACTCAAACCGTTGCAGTCTGTCAGTCATATAATGGAAGTGAATGGGAATCGCGGCTTTGTGAGTCAAAAAAAACATACACAAACAAAACCAAATTAAACCCTGCGGCTCGTGACGATTCATTGATGTGTAAAGACACGAAACGATCGGTCTGTGCAAGAAACTGAACAGTATTTATATTGTTTTTTACCTCTGATTCACCGCAATGTCCGAACTGTCCTGAGCGCGTTCTCAAAAGCCGGCGCGTGACGCGTCTTCTTCTTCTTCTTCTTGCTTTAAGGCGGATCAAAGACTTATAAGTGCATTACAGCCACCTATCTCTCAAATAGACCATTGACACTCGATCTACAATCTCAATTAGGAGTGTCAATGGTCCATGTCAATGCGATCTGCCATAAAGCAAGAAGAAGATGCGTCACGCGCCGGCTGTTGAGAACGCGCTCAGGACAGTACGGACATTGCGGTGAATCAGAGGTAAAAAAAAACGATATAAATACTGTTCAGTTTCTTGCACAGACCGATCGTTTTGTGTCTTTACACATCAATGTATCGTCACGAGCCGCAGGGTTTAATTTGGTTTTGTTTGTGTATGTTTTTTTTTTACTCTCAAAGCCGTGATTCCTATTCACTTCCATTATATGACTGACAGTCTGCAACGGTTTGAGTTAAAAATCTTCATTTGTGTTCTACTGAAGAAACAAAGTCACCTACATCTTGGATGCCCTGGGGGTAAGCAGATAAACATCAAATTTTCATTTTTGGGTGAACTATCCCTTTAAGGGTGCATTCACACATGCTGTTCGGTTCTCTTGGTTTATTTGGTCTGGATCAAAAAAGAAAACGATACCTTTTGTCCTGGTCCGCTTAGCGTTCACACTGGCATTTTTGACAGCGAACCTAAAGATACCAAACCTAAAGGCATAGTGATAAGTTCACAACGCCGCTTTAAATCAAATACACCTAATGCCGTCTACTGGACTAAGCGCACTCATTGTTGCGTGTACATATGATTTCATTTTTACTGCCTGCGAACTCACAAAGAGCTCATAAAAGGCACTTTACCTCCTCGTTGCGCCACGTTTGCTCTCTGCTCATTTAGTTTTGGATACACCGCTCGTTCCGCATCGTCAAATCATGTCGCATAGCGTCGCATCTTGTCATTACATCCTGGTTTTGGTTCGTTTAGAAGTATTTGGTTCATGTTGTGTTCATATTTCATTCGAACCACACCAGAGTTCGTTTGGAAGCGGACCGAGACCCATCTTTTTAGCGGTCTTGGTCCACTTGTTTGGTGCGCGCCAGGGTTTGGATGGCAGGCGTTCACACTTACTCAAATTAATCCGGACTAACAGAACAATTGCACCAGTTTGTTTGAATTGAACCAAACATGACAAGTGTGAACACACACCCTAAGAGTGTGTCAGCTGAAGTATCAGTCAACTCTACATTAATCAGCTTTTTTCTTTTTTTTGACATTAAGATTATTTTTGATACCATCTATGGATTTCTTTTTGTCTTAACTCAGCTGAAGACATGCACTGGAATGAGTCCCGCTCCCGTAGTTCCAGAGACTCGAAGCCGAGACCCCAGGAAGACACATTGCAGGTCTCACTCAGTCTGCCTTCTATCATCATATGATCAGTTATTTTGCATATTAGTGAATGTAATCATAACAGATACTGCATTTAAATGCAGTATTTACAATATGCACAATATTTAAATTGTGTTAAGTTAAACTTTGTTTCTATTTTCTTGGAAAATTGTATCTATTAACAAGGCAGTTGGTAGTTAAAACCAGTAATCTAAACATGCCTAAATATTGACCTATTTGTTTGTCATTAACATTTGTATTATTTAGATACTATTTTAGTTTATTTGTAAAAGTCTTGGTAATGTTTGTCAAATGTATTTATCAACATCATATTTTAATACATTTTAAACATTTTAATAAATTCAATTTTCATAATTGTTACTAATACCAGTAAAATTTTACAATTCTTGATGCTGAAATGAATGAATATATATATATATATATATATATATATATATATATACACACATACTTTTAAAAGGAAATGAATATATATATATATATATATATATATATATATATATACACACCTACTTTTAAAAGGTTAAAAATATTATTGTAAATTCAGGTTGAAGCCTGCATGGCATTAAATATTTCTAATTAAATATTTTTGTTCAGGTTTATCAAGTAGTTATTAATATGTAAGTAATAAAATAAAGAGTAAATAACATGCAATTGAAAAACAGGACAAATTAAAATATGACAGCCGTATTTAATTTGTAAAAAAAAAAACAGTACAGGATCATGCTTTATATTTTTATAGCTTGGCTAATGCTTTATTAAACATAAAATGTTGTACATTTTCTTTTTTGTGTGTTTGTTTATCAGATCCGCATCGACAGCAATAACGAGAGGAGCGTCCACACCAGCCGAGGCTCTCAGGCTCTGGCAGGAGACAGCGGAGGGAACCGGCAGAGACCCATAAAGGAGCGAGGGATGAAGAAAGACAAGCAGGATGGCCCGGACAGCCAAGCCGTTGTGAACGGCGTTTCGTAGAGAATAACGTGCCCCCTTTCCCCCATTCTCCCACTCGGCTCCACCAATCCAGATGCTTCTTCATTAGAGACACATTAGGCCAAAGAGAACCAGGTCAGTAGGGCTGTCGCAAGACATGACATAAAGCACACTTTCTAATTGTTAGTTCGGGTAAAAGACGAGGTCTCTTGGTGTATGGTGTGTTGAATTCGGTAGTCTTCACGGATTAAAGAAACCGGCCTCTAAATCACAACAGAAGCTACAGGTTTTCAAATTGACTTTCTAAACAACTACCTATGAAGCATAAAGAAGCTGTGGATTAAATGTCTCGCAAAATGGAATTCTGAAATGTTTTCCAAGCAATTGGTTTTTAAAGTTTTTGTTTTCCACAATGTCCCAAACAAAAGGGAAAGAAACACATTGGAGAATGAACTCAAGCGCTCGGGGGCCCAAGTTTATGCCACATCTCACGGCATACGTTGTTTTTTTACGCGCTTTGGTGTCCATGATTACTCGAGCCCATTCTGATGTGAGATCTTGGCCACAAAAATAACAAAAAAAAAAAAACTAAAAATGGCAAAAGAAAAAAAAAAAAGCTCCTGTCTGGATCTGTGCCTTTAACTAGTGTGAATAGTATCATAATTTGGATGTTTAAATCAGGGAAGAAGACGTGAACAACCTGTCTGAGCAACGTGTGTTGCAATCTCAGCCGACGACTAAAAAAAAAAGTTTTTTTTCTTTTTTGTTTTGTTTTTCTGTGCTGCATGTATTTCACAAACATTTTGTATGTCTGAAAAGCAGGATTCTATCAAGTCGGCCGAATTCTGATATTTTGCCATAGCTGAATTGTGTGTAATAAAGGTATTAACCTAACTAAACTAGTCAACTGTGGAAGTCATAAATTGTAACCGACCACCCAGAGACGAATATCAATGCTAATTCATTGTCGTCAACAGCACAGTTAATTTTGTCGTTTAGCATATCTTTGCATTGTAGGACAATTATAATTATTATTTTTTTTTAAGAGGTAGCAAAGCAGTTTTCTTTCAAAAAACATGTCTGTCATTTTCCTCCCACACAAGGTGAACTTGTTGGGACTTTTTTTTTTTTCTCTCAAACAATTTGTAAATGCTCATTTTGGTTTCCATTCATGCTGGCCACAGTAAACTGCCATCTCTCCTGCTGTATTTCTCAGCATCAGGTGTGAAGCACTTATATCAGATCTCTGTAACATTGTCTGTGTCCTAACAATGGCTCATCTGTGGGGTTGCATACTGTATATTATGTCATCCGTTAAGAGATTGTGGCTGTTCTTTTTAGATTGAACTTTAAATGTGCACTTATCATGTTTGTGTTACTCTGCAAGTACTTTATAATCTCTCAACCTATAATAAACTAGAATGTGATAAGACTTCCTCGGCAGGTGAATCACATGTATGCTGTCAACATAACTAAACTGAAGTTTAGATATCTTCGCTAATTTTGAGTCTACTGTACTTTTGCAGCTGAATTCGCTTGGAGAGGGACGAGAAGGGGGGATATGCGATGTTAACTTTGATATGAAAACCGTCTGTCTTATCCGATTAGTGCTTGTGCATTAAACTTTAGTTTACATTTTCGAGAAGACGCGATGCTGTTCTGAACCCACGATTCTTTCCAAACCTACTGTGACGATAACCATGGTAGTTTTTCTGCTTTTCCTTTGACTGTACAGCAAGAAACCCGTTCTTTGCTCTTTTTCTCTACGTTTCTAGTTCTCTTTGCGCTCCTGTACTCTCGCTTAGTCACCTTGGCGAATAACCTGTTAAGCTTATACACACCAGTTTGGAAGTGATTTGCCTGTGAATACGAAACGGAAGCTGAAAAGAACCTGTGACTGGCGGAGGATTTGCGGAAATATAAACCACTCTCTCGACGGAGGCGGCTCAGGATGCCCCTCTCGTGTGGCTCTTTAATTAAAAATAGCCTTTACTTCAAAATAAGGTGTTAAATGGTTTACTCTCAGTATTTTTAAAACCTGCACGTCCACGGCGGGCAGTAAAACTGGCAAGATGGCGCAGTTCGCCGCAGTCTGTTCGAGAATAACGATAAAAATAAAAAAAAACCTGTTTCGAATCTTTTGAAAGTGTTGCCAAACAGACTGTTTTCTAATTATTTATTTTTTGGGAATGTATATTAAAATGACAAATTGTAAAACCATCTCTTGCACACATCGTAGGGTATTGTGATTGAAAAAGAGCTGAAAAAAAAAAAACTAAACATGAAATACTGTAGATACTGAACTGAGGTAGACTGACCTTTGTATGTTACTGCACTTTGGGTAATAACGTCTTTGTACATAATAATAGCAGAACAGACTGGGTTTTATGTTGACGTTGTTTGGTTATAGTGCAATATATTTTGTATGCAAGCAGTTTCAATAAATAAAGGTTGATCTTCCTCTGCAATCTGAAGTGTGTTTTATTCCTCGGCGGGGAATTGGGCGTTTTACATTCCATATGTGGTGATAAATCTTCCCGTCGTTAAACACGACAGCAGACTTCATTATAGCGCGTTAACATCAGCAGATTCCTCTCCGTGTGAACTCTTGCTGTATTGCTCGGTTTGTGCGTTGGGTTGTTGGTTTCTTTGTTCGTCCACTTGGTGGCGCTGTGGCACAGGCTAAATCCTACTGTAATGCCACTGCAACTGTTCCTGTAATGAATGCTTGCAGTAACATCAGCGTTTTAACAGGGTGAATGCAGGTGAATTGGGACACTTTTTGATATTGAGATGTTTTACCTGAATTCACCCTGTATTTAACAGCTGCATATTCTGCTGTGTTATAATAATCTGCATTATTTCAAAAGAAAAAGCAAGTAAGATTTGCTTTGTTATTACAGATGTGAGATTTCATGCTGGTTTATGTTTCGACTGTGCATTTCAAAGTAAACCGGGCTACCTTACAAATGTTAGATGTTACTTTTTTAATATCTTTTTGAAAGAAGTCTTTTATGCTCATCAAGGCTGCATAAATTGGATCAAAATGCAGTAAAACGGCAATATTGTGAATATTACATTTTTGAATATATTTTCAAATGTAGAAATCATTCCAATGTGCTGATTTTGCTGCTTGAGAAACACGTATTATTAATGTTGAGAACAGTTGTGGTGCTTAATATTTTTGTGAAAATCATATATATGGGAAATGAGTGTGTATATTTATAATCTCATGGCTCATGATGTCCACAAATATCTGAATTCATATGTAGATATATAGATAGATAAATAGATTTTTTTATGAATTAGATATTTTTCAAAAAATTTGATATTTTTTGATGAATAGAACAAAGAACACCATTTATTTCATATTTTATTGTAATAATGTTTACAATACTGTCACCTTTGATCAATATAATGCATAATGAATAAAACTAAATTTTCAAAAAAAAAAAATTTAAATTCTAGAGTGAGCTGAACATAGTACAGTACAAATGTATGTTGTAGAATTTTATTAACATCAGTAATATTAAAATGTATTCGATTTGATCAGGTGAACATGTAAGTATGATTGCTTAGAAAACTAATAGCACACCTCTCCTCAAACGGCATAATTACAGGTATAATTCATGTAATTGGCTTGGCATGTGTTGCACACTATGGTTTAATTAAATACTAAGTATGAGCAATAGTAACAGTGATACTTGCCTTATTATGAGGTGTCAGGTTCATATCATAGGTTTTCAAAATCTGTCATGTTTCTTTCCATTTCACATTGCCACATTAGTTGAACTGCATGCGGTTTGTAAGTATTTAACTATGAATCTCTAAAATGGATCCACATTGGCTATTTAAATGTCTTACTGTTTCCTCTGCCTTCCCTGACACTCTTCTGCTAGACAGAGTGCAATTGGAAAGAAGAAGAAAAAAACAGTGTTGGTCCCGCATCACTGGATTTCCACAAGAGCTGACAGAAATTGTAGCCACTCTGCCTTTTTGCAGGAGGAAAGGACCAATTACCTCCGACCCCAAACAAAGTCTGTTGGAGCCCTTACCCTGAAATCCTCGTCATCATCCACCAGACTGACCTAGTTTCCTCTCCACTAACAACCACAAGAACAGCAAACGGTGACCTGAGATGCTGTATCTTCTCTCTCTCTCATTGGCATGTTGTCTAGTTCAGTTAAAGCAACACTCAAAAACCTGTTCCCCTTTCTCTCCCTGTGCGGTCATTAATAAATGCATGGGAAATTAATGACAACACTTAAAATTATGCCTGCAGTACTATTTAATTAGTATATAATGACAGAAGATGTACATCTATCACAGCTCTGTCCCAGTCAAGTGCTTTAATTTAAAGTAAAAATGTAGCGCATTAATCTAACATTGATAAGAGTTATTACACAGTAAAGATTAAATTAAAATGTCCTTTTTTAAGTAACAAAGGCATGGTGCTATAAATTGTAATATAAAATGATTTTTTTTTTTTTGCACATTTTGCACCACATTTACTGTGTTGTTTGTATGTAGTTAATGCAGAATCATACTCATTTTGAAAGTTTGTGTATGTGTGTATACGAACGGTTTATTTGCAAAAACAGATAACTCAATTTTCATAAATCATGTTTTGTTATCATGTTTTTATTGTTTTATTGTGTTAGTTAGCTGTACTTTTTTTTTTTTAGCTATTATTTAATCAAAACAACCCAACTGCAGTTTGATTGATATTAACTGGAATGTAGGATAAAAAACATGATTTTTGAACATTTTTAAAAATGGTGTTATCTGTTTTTGCAAATTAACTCTTTGTGTGTGTGTGTGTGTGTGTGTGTGTGTGTGTGCGTGTGCACGCACGTGTGTGTGTTTATTATTATTATTATTATTTAATTCAGAATCATACTCATTTTGAAAGTTTTGTCCCCCAAATCAGTGTTTTTTTTGTTTTTTTTTAGCTTGTTTGTTGTTTTTTCACATCTTAAGAAATCTATATAACAAAATTATTTTTAAAAACATTTTTGGATTTTTACAAGTAAGATGTTTAAAAAGCAAAAAAAGCAAAGTTGATATTTGTTCAACTTTCAGTATTAGTTCATTATTTCAAACTTAAAAAATTATGACACTACACTTTTTTTTTTTTTTTAAGAAAATATTACTTCGTTACATCTGGCTTTTTTTAGAACCAATATATCAAATTTGTAGTTAAAAGCTGAACGTTTTTCATGTTGATTTCATGCAACTATATTAAAAAGTTATTATTTCCATCATCTCAAACATCCAGAACTAAAATATATATTATATGGCACGTAGTTGCATAACCATTACTAGATAAATGGTCTGTTCTGTTCTCTCTGTGGTTTTATTGGTCAACCAGACATAATTATTTGTACAATGTGTAAAGAACAGCATGATTTATAGTGCAGCTCTAACAAAAAGATGCACCCAGTAGCGAGCAGCAAGCACTTTGTCTTTTCGATGCTCCCCACCCCCCCCCCTCTCTCTGGGTCCCCCATGACTCATTTCTGTGTTGCCCCTGGCTTGTGAGAGTCGTGTTGGACTCGTGTGTGCTGGAGAGGGATTCAGGGGCCACACACTGAGCTGCTGTCAAACCGCACTCCAGCCTGGGTTTAACATCACAGACTTAATATCTGTTCCCTTTCAGTTGGTCACTCTGAGTCACGTCGGTGACCGAAGAATTGGGATCTCGCCAATGCACATTGGCATGCGATAATTGCATCCAGCTGCTGCTCGTCACGGTACGAGCATAAGTAGGCAGCAGGTGCAACGCATATTCAGTTTTTCGCTTCGAAGCCAAGCAGTTCTATTGTTCTGCTCTGCCTTTCATCAGAAGAGGAGTATTCTGATGAGTCAACGAGTGCTCTGGGGAAGAGGCTTCTTCATAGCTGGTGTTGGTGTGATGGCGCTGCAGCGGTGGTTCATGGATGAGTCATGCCGTCATTGTGGCGGTATGACCATCGTGGCGTTGCGGCTGAGACTCCAATACATCAAAAGAGGTGGAGTCCCATACCTATGCCCCGATCTAGTCGCTCTTCTGTTTCGCAGGGGAGGGCTACTTCGGTGAATAATCAGGGTAGCCTGATGGTTACAGTGGGGGCAAACCCGCTGAGTGAATCTCTGGGCGGCCAGGGCTACCCCCGCGCCAGTGCCATTCTTCCCGGAATTACATGAAGAGGTAACTAGGTCGTGGAAAGCACCTTTTTCTGCCCGAAACCGATCTGCTGCCTCCTCCTCCCTCACTACCCTCGATGGTGGGGCGGCCAGGGGATACGTGGTGGTCCCCCCGGTGGAGCACATGGTTGCGATGCAATTGCATCCAAGGAGCGCTTCCACCTGGAGGGGTTACCCGTGTCTCCCATCCAATGCCTGTAAGTTCTCGTCCGTTCTTATGGTCAAGGCTTACAGAGCCGCTAGACAGGCTGCCTCCACCCTGCACGCCATGGCACTCCTGCAGGTATACCAGGTCAAGGCACTAAAGAAGTTGCCCGAGGGTAGTTCTGACCCAGGGCTGATGCAGGAGCTGCGCACAGCGACGGACCTCGCCCTGAGAGTGACGAAAGTCACTGCACGCTCCCTGGGTCAGACGATGGCCACGTTGGTGGTCCAGGAACACCATCTCTGGCTGAACCTGGCGGATATGCGGGAGACTGACAAATATAGTTTTCTCGACTCCCCTATCTCCCAGGCTGGCCTATTCGGCGATGCAGTCGAGAGCTTTGCCTAACAGTTCTTGGCTGCCCAGAAGCAGACGGAGGCTATCAAGCACATCCTGCCCCGGCGGCCCGCTGCTGCTTTCATCCCACTGCCGGCTGCAGCTGCTCTACTATCGCCAGCGGGCAGCAGGGTCCGGTTCAAGGAGCCTTCTCCCACGCCTCCTGCCCAACCATAGAGCCAGGCAGGTGTTGCACCGCACACCCAGACCCCACTTCGGGACACTATGCCTTCCGAGTCGGGTCCCTATTCTCCACCACGCTGCCCCACCGTGGGTACGTCTGTAGTTCCTCTGGTCCCGCTTGTATGGTTTCCGGGAGCCTGGCTAGTGCTTCCCAGTACGTCTCGCTGGCTCATTCGGACCGGCTGACTCGGCTATGCGATTCAGTTCACCCGGCGTCCCCACAAGTTCAGGGGCATCCAGTTCACCTCCGTGCTGACCAGCGATGCTCCTGTCTTATGGGCAGAAATCGCAGTCCTGCTGGCGAAGGACATGATAGAGCCGATCCCTCCAACCGATATGAGGTCGGAGTTTTACAGCACTTACTT